CGTGTCAGTCAGTCGAGTCAGAGGCAGTCCGAAACAGAGTCGCGTTCAGACAATTACTACTAAACCTGATTGTTCATACTAACACTTTCTACTTTTCTGTATATATTACTGTTTGTAATATATCTGTGTTGTTCCATATCTGTGTTCGAGTTCTTCTTTATTGGTTCTACCTTGGACTATCTTCTTTATTGGTTCTACCTTGGACTATCACCCGGGGTACAAGGAACCGGGACCATAACAACTTCTAATTCTCTCATAATCACCTCATTGTATATGTTGAAAAAGTCTGGTGAGATGACACATCCTTGTCTTACACTCCTTTTTATTCTTTATATTTGCTGAGTTCATTTTCTATCCATATGTCAGCAGATTGTTGCCAGTATAGCTTCTGGATTATAAGTTATTATTATTGATTTAAGTTTATTTATTATGTGTTTGTGTGTGTGTACATGTGTAGGATGTATAAAAATAGCCAAAACAGAAGTGGAAATAATATGACAAAGTGGGAAATCATACAGATGACACATTGCGCACATGTCTGTTGATCTCAGCTTCTCCTTACACAAACTCATTAAGTATGCTCCTTGCTGTTTCCCTCTGGCTCTCTTGCATTCATTGTCATATGAGTGTCAAATTTTCTAAGCTCTCTTTACTCATTATGTACCAATAAAATTTCTGATACTAAGTGTATACTAATCCCATTTTAATTCCATTTTCCTTAAAACTTCCTTGAAAAACAATGTTACTAGTAAATCCAATTCTTAAAATGATATCGCTTGTCAAGTGGATTGACTTGAATCAACAAGATTCAGCATGGAGTGTGCCTTTATTTAACTAAGAAGAATGGAAGAAACTTGTTAAAAGTTTTTGAGTTTGCTTGAAAACCTTTCATCCAGGGCCCAGGCGAGTGGAGTCAGAATTAATATCAGTATAAGCACCATCTTCCCAAGTATTACCTCTCCTCCGCAATGGAGTTGTGGTTAGGCATTGTCATATAGCAAATTCACAACATGAAGATATTCACTATCATGTAGCAAATTTGCAACATGAAGATATGCACTGTCATGTAGAAAATTCACACCCCCTTGCAAGATGCAGGTTTAAATATTTAGCTATTTTGCTGCATTGTGTTTAATCACCAAGTCCATGAAAGCTGTGTTCCAATGATATGTAATGTGTTAGCAGGTCACAAATGAAAGACAACCTAATGAAATTCTACACAGCATGTGCCAAAGTTCAACTTTCTCCTTTCTCTTTCAGACATTATTGAGAGCATTAACATGGCAATTTCCAATCTGACACAGGAAATGAAAAGCCATGCTATAATTGTGACACTAGCTGCTGACCACAGCTAGACAGCCAACTTCTTGAAAGTAGCCAGGTAAAGATGAGGAATGACAGGTGATCTCTATCCAAATACCACAGTTACCCATAATGATACACATCAAGATTATATCATCTGTGATAGTCCTGGGGGTTGCAGGGAAATGGTGGGGGGATTTTATGCTACCCAATTTATTCTACAAGGCCTCATTGTCAATTCAAGGCAACTGCCTACATTGAGGTGTTAAGCATGTGATGAAACCCTGGATTGTGGGGGTGGATGGCTAGGATCCAGCTGGTCTCAGCTCCCACCCACATATCTCACGTGATACAGGAGTGACTGGCTGACAGTGTTCAGGAGCTTCTCACACTCACCTTGTGATTTGAATTCACTGGACTACTATATTTGAGGCATCTTCAAGGAGATCCATCACCAGCCCCACAATACCAAGGACATATTGAAGACTGTCATCATGGATATAATAACCAATAGACATGACACCCACCTGATCTGAGCATGTAGCCGCATTTAAGGCTGCATTTAAAGCTGCAGTAAGGCCATTGATTAGGCGTTAATAAATAAGGTTTTCTGTTGAACATATGTACAAATTTATTTGAAAATACACTAATTCTTTTTATATTAAATACATTTTTTATATTATAATCTATTCTCAATTTGCTGGCATGCCCCCATTCTCTCTCTCTCTCTCTCTCTCTCTCTCTCTCTCTCTATATATATATATATATATATATATATATATATATATATATATATATATATATATGTTGTTGTATTTTAGAAAGGGCTACTGAATAAGAAGCAAAAACATGGAGGTTGGAAATGAAAATGGTAATCTTTATAACATCAACAAAATAAAATACTCATGAGCAGCATGAAGTAGGTAAACCACTGCTAGTGGTGGACTACTTAAACAGCATATTACCCCCACTTATAATAGTGTCCAACATGTTTATGGGGATTGGGACATACCCATTAGTGTTCATAGCTATGGTATATAACAGTATATACACACACACACACACACATGCATGCACATAAATATACGCACACATGCATGCATTTATGTGTGTGTGTGTATACAGGATTTGTTAAATTCAACTGACAAGGTCTGTTTGTTTAAATTTTTATTGAATGTTTCCAATTTTTGAGTAAGATGTTATATATCTCTCTCTCACCCACCCCCGACAGATATATATATATATATATATATATATATATACATACATACACACACCCTTGTGCAAATTAATTGAAACACCTGCTTTAGTTTCCTTTCTTTACCATACGGTCAGTTTTAGACACACTGGAGTGACAAGGGGTAATCAATTTCTATTTTTTCCTCAAATTAGATTAAAAATATTGCATAATCCATGATTGCATCAGATTTTATCGCATCCAGACTCTACTGTTTCAACTGTCGATTAGTTGTCCTATGGCTATTGTCTCAATGGATGTTACTCCAAGGAAGCATATGAAAATTGTAACACTGCATGAACACACTGACAAGCCTTACCAGTGAGCAAATCAAAGTACTATAGTACTTTCATGATTTAAATCCAATCAAGAATCTCTGGTCAATCTGCAAGAAACAACCGTGGACCCGGCCAAATATTGTTTTGTACTAACAAGTTTACTGGGTCATATTTCATTGGAAAAATACGAAAAAAAAATAAATAATAACAGAATTATTTGTTTTGTTTCAATTAATTTTGCACAAACAAAAATATAATTATATATATATATATATATATATATAAAAATGCAAGTTGGAGTAATGGATAGCAGCTTGGATTGAGGAATCGAGAGCCGAATTTGAATTCAGTCAAATTCATTACATTCACTTATGTGCTAATATCCTTGGGAAAGGTGTGAATCCTTTCTCCCCTCCAGCTATGGGTAAATAGCAGGACAGACTGGGTTCTATAGCATTGGATGGCAACTGGTCTAGGAGAAGAAAAAACTCTGAATTCAAAACCTGAAGAGGGCCGATTGGGGACCTTGTGGCATGTAGTGCACCAAGTCTCTGTAATCGACCCTTCAAAAAGTGTGGATGGTCTTGCACGAAACCTTCACCACTATAATCAAATCTCATGTGCTATACATGCAGGTTGAGGACCGCTTGTGAATTCCAAATTCCCATGAAACTCCAATATTGGAGCTGGCTCAACCCACCTTGAGTGAATGCCATTACAAGAAGAATGTATATATATATATATATATATATATATATATATATATATACAGCAAGTATTCATCCAAACAAGTTTGATTAAAAAGTGGTTCTTTTTAACAAAAATTGTCATGCCAGACAATTGTTCTCATCAGAATCTTTCCTGCACATTTATAAACCTGCCATTTGTCTGTTCATTGAATATTGCTACCATATCTGGTCTGGTGCTCTTACTATATATCTTGAGATTCTTGACAAAATTCAAACAAGGATCTGTAATATAATAAATCCTGACCTGGCATCTCAACTTCAGTCACTTTCTCATCAATATGATATGGTTTCCCTCTCTCTTCTCTACCAATATTTTCATCGCAACTGTTTCGATAACCTTGACTGCATGAATTGAAGCATACTACTAGATTGGCAGTTAGGTCTCACCATTTTACTGTTTAATTAACTAGATGTAACTGTCAGTTCTATTGTAATAGTTTCTTTTTTGTACTTCTTGCCCGTAGAGTTCCCTTCTGATTTCTTACTTCCCTGCTACCTACAATATTCACAAATTTAAATACATCAACCACAATCTTCTCTCTTCCAGAAACCTGTTCCTTTATTGTCCTTTCCTCACTTTTCAATAATCTTCATAATCATAATATCCTCATAATCAAATATCCTCATAATCATAATCTTCACTTCCTACCTCCTCTTACATTCATATTACACACCTCATTCAGTAATCCTCTACCTTGACTGTCTCTTGGATCATTATTGGGTGTACTTTACTGAAATATATATATATATATATATAAATATAATATATATATATATATATATATATATATATATATAGAAAGAGAAGAGAATTGAATTTTTTTAAGTGCATGTAAACATATGTGTGTGTGTGTGTGTGTGTGTGCATATCAACAACATCGTTATTTTCTACAATTTAGATACTATTATTACCAAAATCCAAAATTGCAATAAATTGGACATCAAAATCTTTCCTCTTTCATTGTCACCAATCCTTATTTTATAATGATTCACAGAGACCTCACCCCCTTCAGTGCAATGCTCTAGCACTAACTTCCACCAGCAAGTTCAACTGTACTACTATAAATGCACTTAGTGGTAAGACTTAGTGGCAGGGTCAAATAAGTGGTATTCTTTGGCAAACATTTACAAAAGAGAAATAAATATTCCAATCAAGGGTAATCAATTCAATTTTTGCAAAATCCACAATGTGACAATAGCTACATGGAACAAATGTCTGTTGCAAATAAACAACTAGACTGACCATATTGAACAGAGAGATAAAAGGCTTGTCCAAACTTTGAACCGGTAACACTCGTAATATTAAAATTGCTATGAGTTGAAGAAAATTGAAAATACGAGTCAAGTTCATAGAGCAGAAGCTGAAACAGAACAGTAGTAGTTGCTGAAGTGAATTCTGAGTAACAGGGTAAGAGAAGTATAAATACAGTCGCAATGTTACTCTTCTATCTATCTATCTATCTATCTATCTATCTATCTATCTATCTATCTATCTATCTCCTTGAAAGAAGAATAGAAACATGTTACTATGTTGAGTTTCCCCTCTTTTTATTTCTTCCACAACCGTACCCATTTTTATTTCTGTCTTTCTTTTTATAATTCTTTTCTTTTCATTATCTTTCATTCCTTTTCTTTCTTTCTTTAACTAGCTATCTATCTATTTTTTTCCAAGAAGAAAGAAGAAAAGAAACATGTTGAGTTTTCTTTCTTTCATTTCTATTTCCCCAACTACTGTATCCATTTTTCTTTTCTTTCTTTCTATAATACTTTCTTTTCTTTTTCCTTCTTTTCATTATCTTTCATTTCTTTTCTTTTTATCTATCTATCTATTTTCTTCCAAGAAGAAAAAAACAGGTTATCATGTTGTGTTTTCTTTCTTTCTTTCTTTCTTTCTTTCTTTCTTTCTTTCTTTCTTTCTTTCTTTTCTACTTCCCCCACCACTGTGTCTATTTTTCTTTTCTTTCTTTTTATAATTCTTTCTTTTCTTTTTCCTTCTTTTCATTATCTTTCATTCCTTTTCTTTCTTTGTCTCTCTTTTTTCTTCTGTAAGAATGAAGAAAAGAAAAGAAACAAGCATCATGTTGAGATTTTTCTTTTTTTTTTCTTGCTTTCTTTCCCTTTCTTTCTTTCTTTCTTTCTTTCTTTCTTTCTTTCTTTCTTTCTTTCTTATCTTGTAACTTTTTTCTCCTTTCATTCCTTTCTTTCTTACCTTTTCTTTTATCCCCTATTTCATTATTCAATTTTTCTTCTTTTTTCTTTTTTCATTTTCCCTTTTCCAGCTTTCTTTTTAGTTTTTCTTCCATCTTTTTTTTAATTTCTCTTACTTCACTTATCCCGCTCTCTTTCTCTCAACATTTTTTATAGCCTTTCTTTCTTTATTTCTTTCTGTCTAACATTGGAAGGTAATGAGCCAAATTTCTAAGATTCCATCTGAGACAGAAATTTAAATTTAAGAAATTTAATGCAACTCATAACTATTTCTTCACTTCAGAAAAGCAAATCAAAATCATATTCTCTTTCTTGACATTCTTGGATGCTCCACTGTTGTGGTCTTGTGCCAGACTAAGGTATACTTAGTAAATAACCATCCAATGTCTCCTATATAACAGTGGTTTGCAAGTTCATCTTGTAGACTGATTTACAAATACAGTGAACTCAATCCCCACTTGATACCTCACAATTGTAACCTTGTGCCAAACTTGCAACTAAGATATAGAGCAATGATGAACTCACAGGTCATTGTTAGTAACTAGAATTATAATTTTGGTCAGATTGACATGGGAAGTGAAGGTTGCAGGTTGATGGTTAATAACATGGAGAATGGAGTCAGTGAACAGAGTTCAAACTCTGACTGAGACTGTTTACTTTCAATTCTCACTAATGGCTTTCTACAGGACTTGAAACCACTTATCTCTTCAGCTATGCATAAATAACGAAACTGATTTCATTTAATCACCATAGAGAACCTTTTCTACCTGACATCAGTATGGCTGATGCTAAACTCCAGGAGAGTACACCTTCTTGACCTCTTGTTTTCTACTGACATGAAGTGGAATGACTATATCAAATCAATTGCTGCATCTACTGCAAGGAAAGTTGGTTCACTGTGTCGTGCCAGAAAATTTTTCTCATCAGAATTCATTTTGCACAATTATAAATCTATCATTTGTCGGTTTATTGAATACTGCTGCCATATCTGGTCATGTGGTCCTGTTTTACATTTAAAGATTCTTGACAAAATTCAAAGAAGAATCTGTAATGTAATCAATCCTGACCTGGCATCTTTACTTCAGTCTCTTTCTCAGCGACATGATGTGGCTCCCATCTGTCTTTTCTACACAAAATGGCAACTGTTCCTGTACAACCATTGATGTTAAGTAATGTTGAGCCTAGTCAGTACTTAGTTGGTTGACAACTTGTAAATACCAGGTTCTGTAAGTTTGGATGGGCAGGTGGCTTGGAATTGTTAATCAGAGAGCTGAGATCCATTTCCAACTTAGTTTGTTATATTCACTTATATGCAAATCCTCTTGGGAAAGGTAACAATATACTTCTTCTCCCCCAACTATGGGTTAATTAGTAAGAGTTATATCACTAAATCATTATCATCTAAAAAAAATATAATTTTTACACTTCTACATAAATAAATGTGAATGTCAGTGTCACACTTTTTCAACTTTACTCCTAGTGGCTGTAGCCTAACATATCATGCCATTTTAAAATCAGGCCAACTCTGCGAGCAAATTAAAAACATACCAGTCCAGATCTGGACCCACAATCCTGAATTTTTTTATTCCCAAGTTTTTATTACTGTGAATGTTTTTGACAATTTTTTACATGATTTTTTGCAACAAATTTTTTTGTATGATAACAATTTTTATAACTTGGAAATAAATTTGGAAATAATAAAAATTAATTGCAAAATCCAGCAAAAGTTACCATGAAATAAAAATAATTGTACAGAATGTAAGGACCTATGTACATCAAATTGTCTTTAAATAAAGTGGTGGTAATTAAGAATTATCGTTGAACTTTTAAGAGGTAAGCTTAAATATTAATGCAATATATAAAGGCAGTGATCAATTTTGAGTTCTTCTGTAGTATATGGTTGCCTATCGCATATGGCAGCAGTATGCCTGACAAAAAAGATATCTCTGCTAACAGAGGACCAGATTGTAATCAGAAGAGCCAAGGCTGCAGTGAGGAAAAGAAAGTCCCGTGTAAATGAAAACCCAGATCAAACGGCAGCCAGGAGAACTTCCAATGTTGAAAATATGCAAAGACTTAGGGACTCTCAAATTCCTGAACAAGCTGAAAGTCCAATCAGGAACTCTCTGCAGTAGTTAGCTTAAATGTCGCCCAATAGGGCACCTTTTAAGTGAGTTAAAAATATTTTCTGGCTTTAAATAGCCTGCAAAATGTTGATAAACCATAGAAAATGAATGAATCAATCCATAAACTTGCCACTGTCTATTTTTATACAAGTCAGATTAGACTGAGCATTGCAACCATATCTGGGCTGAAGCTACCCAATATTTACTCTCTAGCCTTGATAAAGTTCAAAAGCAGCCCTGTGGGTGATGAATTATTTTCTATGCTACGACCACTTTCCCACAGGTGAAACATTGCTAGCCTATCACTATTTCAGATGAGCTACATTCCTTCATTCTACTAGTTCAGACTTTTACAGCTACAACCCACCATGCTATATACACCAGGTCAAATCTTCCTCATTCCCTTCATATTCCATTGGTAATGAGGAAGTTCCACTCAAACAACTTCTTCCCAAGAACCATTACAGTGTGGAACAGACACTTGAGGATATGCTTCCCTGATCACTACAATATTAACCTGTTCAAGTCTTGGGTGAACCATTATCTATCCCCTATATCCTCATCATCTGCTCTTCTTACTTCCTCATCTTATGCTCTTACAACAACAACATTCAGTAGCCCTCTACTTTGAGTGGATCTTTGGACTTTTATTAGGTGAACAATGATAATGTTAAAGGTAATATTAGCCGTTTCCCTACAAGGAAACATTTGGCATTCATTGACCAAGCAGCAAGTACTACTTTCAGATGAAATTTATAAAATCTTTCTTCTAAACCAAATTTTCAGGAAAATAGGTTTTTCAAGTCTAATAGCTGTTATCACTCTTTCTAGTATTGATGGGGATTTCCTTCCTAAACGTTTGTTTAAAGTAGTGTGGAAGGTCAACATCTTGATTATGTCATTATTAGTATAAAAGAGGAGTCATGTAATTGAGTGATAGAATGAGCAGACCATTTTTCTAGCTTCTTTATGGATCCTATATATTGAAGTCTGGAGTGAATTTGAGTCCCAGAGGACATTCAAAGCATGGCAGCTCATTGAGAGTGCAGTCATTTATTGTGGCTGGAGAACACTCAGGATATGATTGGTGATGATGAAATATTACCACTTTGATTTTGGAGGTACTGAATGTTACAAACCAGTGACATAGTGACACATCACAAAGAATCTTCACACTCAGTCATTGAGAATGTCATTGGTTACCAGGTTAAATCAAGGTCAAACAGTTGATCTTCAAGATATTCAAAATGGTTGAATACATTCGGAATAGATTTTATATTCACCTACATAAGACAATTTTTAATATTTACATTATTTACAGTCAGGCTAATATCCTCATCTTTGTTGTTATTATCACATCATTTCAGTCATTGTGCCTTTTGGACTTCAGCAAGTGTTTGTTGATCCATGTAAACTTCAGGTAATTTTAAACTGAACCTTTTATTTATTATATGAAGATCTATTGGTCTCATTCTTCTGTTAATGTCTAAGGATGTCTTGTTCTTTTTTTAGCAATTAATTAGCAATACTAAAAAATGAACAAGACAAGATATCCCTAAACACAGGTAGAGGAAGGAGAACAATCTATTATGATAAGTGTTGAAACAAAATGGCTATTTTTGTAGTGATTTTATAACATATTTATGTTATAATTTTTGAATAAATTATATTTGGTCTACTCTGTACTGAGCACTCTTTTAAGAATAGTATTTTTTGGTTATTGGAATTTATTCCGTATACATTGAATCCTATACTTATATATATATATATATATATATATATATATATATATATATATATATATATATATATATATAAAAAAATGGAAACTTTAAGCATTAAATGCCAACAGTCTGTTTCATGCTTGAATAAAGTTTTCAGGCTATGAAACAGACAGTCAAAACTTTTGTTGACATCAAAACCCAAACTTTTATTTAAATGAAAACATTCTCTCTCTCTATATCTATATATATATATATATATATATATATATATATATATATATGAAGAAATATAGTTTTTTTAAAATGCTATATTTATGGGATAAAGTGTTCAATATCTGAGATAGAGTGTATGTAAATATAAAAGTGAACATTGAAGTCAACATTCAGAAGTGAAAGACTGTTTCATGAGAGATGCAATCGTCAAGCCATGATTGTATCTAGTATGAAACAATCTGTAACCTGTTGAGTATTGACTTCAATGTTCACTTGTATATATATATATATATATATGAAGAAATATAGTTTTAAGGTGTGCTATATTTATGGGATAAAGTGCTCAATGTCAGAGATAGAGCATATGTAAATATAAATATAAAATTGAACATTGAAATCTAGCATGAAACAGTATGTCGCCTCTGAGTGTTGACTTCAATGTTCACTTTTATACACACACACATATATATATATATATATATATATATATATATATTTACTTATATGTATTTGTAAATATATAATGTGATCCTCACTCAAGCTTTCTACCAACCAGTCAATGATTACTCAACATTGCATTCTGATTCTCGATCTTGTTGGTGTGCACCAAAAACTGGGAAAGGGACTGCTGCACACTCACAAGGTTACATGATGACAAGACAAATGCCATGTTGAGAAATAAGAATTCAAGCCCTGTTTCCCATATTATTTCCTATATTTCCACATATTTCTCATGTAGGTGTTTTATTCAGGGCTTAGGTAGGTAGGTGATACTTGGGACAACTTCTGCTATATCAGCTCTTCCCTTTTACCAACTTCTCACCCATCCTGACATGTGGCAGGAAATATGTATGGACTGTACAGGAACTATATGACAGACAGGTCTGTTTCCCATCAAGGGCAGACCAGAACTCTCCCCAATCTCAAGCATGGCTGCCAACATAGACCAACACCCAAACATACCCTATTTCCAGTTTTGTCACCACTTGATCTCCAAAGCCCCTCATCCACTCCTTTACT